GGAGCAAAGCAGCAAAGAGTATGTAGCAAATTTTATATACTATTATTCTGCATTGCTGTATAATGTATTGGTGGGATTTGTAGTCCTCTATAGCTGATGGTATTATTCTGCATTGCTGTATAATGTGCTGAGAGTTGTAGTCCCTATACAGCTTGAAGTCAGTCGCAGAACTAAAAGGGGCGCAGCGATCGTGTGCGTGCACAGAACTGACAAGGCATCCCTCCGCTACCATCGTGGTATAATTTCCTCAACCCAGAAATGTATCTGCCGTGTCACTTCCAGGTGCGCATGTGCATGAAGAAAGGGGGGTCATGAAAACATCTGATTTGGATGAAGCGGCCCCACCGTAATTGACGTGGTCGACAAAATTGATGGGGTCGAGAAAAATTATAGAACTCTGACTTTGACACTGTCCGGCTCCTCCCACAGCTCAAAGCCCAGAAATCCGGCAGCCTACAGTGGGTGAGAGTGCCTAAGTACCGGACATGGAGCGGAGTAAGGCCAGAACGATGCAGGGAGCCCAGCAGCCCATCCCCCAACCTGTCACTCCTTTCATGGACTGACTAGTGAGTCCTCACATCACCCAATCATTCACACCACCGTAACATAGATGGCAAAGGTGGCAGGCAGGGGCCGGGAGAAGAGTCAAAGTGGGAAGTGGGCCAAGTCGCTGCACCATGGGCCTCTGGGTTGTACTTGCCCCCTGGGCTAAAAGTTGCCACTAAGCCCCTGCCGGGGACTGCCTGTATTTGTAATTGCATACCAAATGGGTAATCGTTATGGGTAATCGTTAAGGAAAAGGTTATAAACAATGTAATTGATGTCAAACAGTAGGGCAAATGACAGCTGAAAGCATTTAAAGGAGATGTAATTGTTACAGGGTAGGTGGGAATCAAAGATTACTGTTTGGTAACAATAAGATCAAAAGTTTTTCTCTGTTCTTCTTCCACATTTTAGTGAATGAGGAAAGTGGGTATATCAAGAAGAGACTGAAATTGGGTAGGGAAAGAGGGAGAGAAATGGAGAGAGATAGAGAAGGGTACTGAGAACTGGGAATTTTCATTATTTTATTTTATTATTACTCTGTCAGACTGTGCCTGTTCATCTGTTTTTGCACTAAACGCTACTCCCTGGAAAAGAAACAAGGTTGCCTGGATATTTCCTGAATTTTTTTCACAATACACAAATATATATATCTTATATGCTTAGATATTTATACACCCACCATTTTATCATTACAATAAGGAGTCATAAGGTTTAGTGAGATGGATCCCCAGGAGGTTGGGTGGGAAATATTGAGAGCTCTAGATTTCTCACCATTAGGCCGAGATAGCACCAAAAAGGGAAAGGAGAAAACAGATTAGGAATAGAGACTATAGGGTTCGTAAGAAAGGGCCAAAGGTTCAAAGGCTAAAGCGAATAATGGGTAATGTCTGGTGCCATGGCCTATAGCAAGTGATGGGGGGGATTAAATCCCGCATATCTGACGTACATCATGGGGCTGGAATAGAGGGCTGTCAGTAATTGGGCTAGGATATCAGATACTTTTTTTATAGTAAAGCGGAAAGAAGGCATCTGGACCTGGGCATTTGTGGGAATGTAAGGCTTTAAAGACCTCCTCAGTTTTGACGGCAAGTCCAGTGAGTCTCTAAGGACAGCAAGGATTTGGGGAAGCTCAATAGATGTAAAAAGATGGTCCACAGAAGCTGGGAGAAGCTTTGATCAGAGGTGTATAGCTGTGATATTTGTTTCTGGAACTCATTCACTATATGATGGGGGTTTATGGTGAGGGTGCCATGAGCAACACGTAGCCTCTATGGTTTATGTTGTGGGTCAACAGTGCAAAGGCGGGAAGCAAGCATGGTATCCTGTTGATTAGCCTTCATATAAAAATGGGGTTCTGGGTTGGTCACAATTGTGCATCAGCCAAATGAGTGAGGATTAAGTTGAGATTGTGTTTCACAGTTTCCAAGTGGTATCTGTTGGCCAGGGTAGGGCGTCATTGAAAGTGAGAGGAAGCTTCAGCAAATGTATTCTCGAGACGTTTAAGTGTTCCCTCCCTTTTAAGGGAGGAAGTCAGTTTAATACACGCACCACGGAGAATAGCCTTATGCCCCATGATCAACACCCCACTTTTTTTCTCACTGGAGCAGAAGCTGGGAAGGCTTGTGGAAAGTGAGGGTCAAAATATTTTGGAGCTGAAGAAAGGGGGAAGTGTGTTTCCTGGAGGCATACTATGTTAGCTCTAATGAAGCGAAAGTAATGAAATGCAGCCCTATGTAGGGAATTAAAGCCCTTTACGTTAAGGGTCAGCAGTTGCAGTTCAGCCATAATAAATATCTAGAAGAGTCCTATGAGGGAGGTACTGCACAATACTAAGGGGGCGAAAGGGAGACCCCTGAACCCAAAGAGATGTGGAAGAGGCAGAAAGGAGAGAGAGCAAGGCAGAGGAAGACAGGAGGAAGAAAGTAAGGGAGGGGAGAAAGGAAGAGGACACAGACAAGGAAAACAGTGGTAACAACAGCTAACAAAAAATGAACAGAGGTGGAGTGACTAAAGACAGGCAAGCTCTGCCGGTAAAACAAAGCGGGCCTTCACAGTGGGAGAAAAAAAATGTTCCCACAATCGAGGTCAGCATTGACAATCCCCCCGACACTCGAGCAAGCCA